TGCTGGTGAGTGAGCACCAAGCCTTCCAGTCGGATGGGGAACCTCACGTCACAGCTCCCGACCATATTCTGTATCTTGAAGTCCAGGAACTTGGCAGGGAACCCAAGCTTCTGCACCACGCGCGCATACTTCCTGGCTGCGAGCCGTGATTGCTCTTCACTGAAGGAAGAGCAGAAGGGGAAAGCAGCTTTGATTAGTGCTTTCTTGTGCTCTCAAGATGAAAGTCAGTTCAGAGCCACCACCATGCTAATCTGTGCTCCAGAAAAAGATACGCTACTGCTCAAAATAGCAAGCCTCTACCCCCAGAACCACTTCAGTGAGCTAAAAGGAAAAAGGCACTTCGTCATTCACTTTCTTGTGGTCTATTTGAGCACACTGGAGCACGTTGCATGGAACCCAGGAGTTCCCCTCTTCAGAGGTTTCTGTCTCAGTTCCTTACAACAGCTTCTCAGAGCTGATCCAAGAGGTAGACGGCAGACACCAGTACAATCATCTAGCTAGCTGGGGTGGTGGTAGGGCTTGGAGAAGAAGTCTCCTAAGCTGTAAGTGAATGCATTATCTCATTGACAGTTTAGGGGCATAAAAATCAAGGCAGCTGCTGAACTTGAGGAAAAGAGCTTGAAAGTACAGAAATAAGCTTTGCTTTTCTCCAGTTCCCATTTTCTCTAGAGGCAGATGTGTTGACTGGTGAACACAGTCACCAAAGAGAGACTTGACAGACACAAGTTATGTCCTAATTCACTTGGAAGTCAGTGAGAAATGCAAATAACCCCTTAACAATTCCTGGGCATTTTAGCAGCTTTTCTGCTAATGTCTGCCCAGCTCAATCTATATTCAGGGACAGAAGCACGCAGTTTGGTAGTTACTAGACTGCCATCATGAAGAAAGCTAGACATTTTTCAATACCAGCGCTTCATTTTTTTCTTGCAATTATGACAGCCCTTTGCTAGATAATTTAAACAAGGTTTTTTGACATTTTTCATCGGAATATAGGCATAGCTGCAAGACCCAGACCTTTAGAGGGAAAGAAAAACAAACGAAAAAATACCTTTTTGCTCCTGTGCAGACCATTTTTCCTGAGCTGAAGATGAGGGCTGTTGTTCGTGGTTCCCTGATTCTCATGATCACGGCAGCAAACCTCTACAAATTCGAAGGAAGACCTCACATTCCAGCTGGGGGATTTAGCCAGTACTGTGTTTCTCTTCATTCTTTCAAGAATTGTCACTTTCAAAGCTCAACACAGCATGCATTTGCTTTGTATTAAGTGTTTATTTACCACCCTGAAGTTATTTGCTAACCCCTAGGACCAGGGGGCTTAAGACTACAGTCATGGGACCACTGCCTTGTCCCTTACATTTTGTTGAGCAGTCTGGAGTCACTTACAGAAACCCAATCTATTCCCAGTAAGTTTCTGCAGTCTAGGCCGCTTGCTAGAAGTATCACGTAATACCAGTCTGACTCCAGTAATTCTCTTTAATTCAGACAATTCTCTTTAATTCAGCCCAGTGAGGGCTGCTTGAGCCCTTTCAAGCTGGAGGCAGCTGGCCACAGGTGGGAGAGTTCATCTCCTTTCTTAAACAGCTTGGTAACATATCATTGCTAGGGCTTTAGTCAAAGAAAAAAAAAAAAAAGAGTATCTCCTTGTGGTAGATAAAATTGAAATATTTCTTTTAATTTAACAGGCCCAAGTTGCAGAATTTTATGACTTTCTCCTATGGGTCAAGACAGTGCTATTAGAAAAGGGACAAAGCTCATGGTGAATCTGTGTGTTAGAATTCAGCAGCACTGAGAAAGCTTAAGAGTCCTTAAGATTTACCTTTGGGTTATACTCTGCATTTCTGGCATGCAGAGCTATGTTCTTCAGATCTAGTTTACAAGCCAAGTTTACAGTTGACACTATATTCCTGAGGAATAAGAAAGGAATTTTCTTATTACAAAAGCAAGTCACTGCAGAGCCGACCCCCAGCACTATTAGCTTAATGTGAAGTCACACTCCAATTAATAATTGCCATCAACTAATTTCCTGCCTGCCTCTTTCCCACTCAAGCATTAAGCTACTTTTGGCAAAACTTAAGTAATTCAATACCAAAATTACAGTTTCTGAGCTATAACAAGGTACGAAATTATTAGTCCCTGAATACTAAGGCTGTGTGTCTTCCAATAATTACACCACTGAAGTCTCTTATAGCTTTGAATTGAACCATTACTGAGTGTTTACAGAGTTACTACAGCACTCAAGGTAGGTAAAGGTATGTTATTCTCTACAGGTATAAGCTACTCCATAGCTGCTCTAGCCTAGACAGGACAGGATCTTTTAACGAGGCCAGGATTTCTCACACTTCTTTTCATGCCCCTTTTTCCCTTGCTCAGTTCAGGCTGCTTCTGCACTCAGAAAACCAGACTGAGATCTTTAAGACCCCTGGAGTCTGCTGTCATCCGTAACATCCTCCTTGCTGGAAGAAGTCCTCCTTTTCAAGTATTATTTATCTTTTCATTCTGCAGTCTGAAGTAACTAGCAGTACATACGACGTATAAATAATTTCTACCAAACACTTCTCCCACTGAGAGACTTCATCTCCTGTCTCCCAGAAGAGACTCTTCCCCCTTAACAAGCCAGAGGCATTTCAGATACTCACCCAGCATGTTTATCAAGTCCACGCTCCTCTGTTTTGCTAAGCTGGGTATTGTTCTGTGCCATTTCCATTTTTGTATTGCACTGATCAGCACAGTATCCAGTTGCCTTCCAATATTGTCAGTTCATTTGCTCCACATCTCCTCAAAGAGGAATAACTGCCCCTCTGATTTTTTGGGTGGGCTTATTTAAAACCAAACCATGCTTGCTACGTTCTCTAAGTGAGAAAGTCAGAGCAGTACCTTGCAGTCTAAGCAAAACTATGACTATTATATATGCTACATATAGAATACATACATAAACTTACTGTAACTGAGGAACTATGCCAGAGCTTTCTGATGCAGGTGTCACTGGGGTCATAGGCGTCATTGGTGTCAGAGGAGGACACACGCCAGATGCTTCAGGAGATGGTCGAGTTGCATCTGGATACGACAAGCTGCTTTCATCCATGAAGATACTGCTGTCCTCATTTCTTGATGATATTGACCCATCAAACTCTTTTTGCATGTCATGACCAGCCTCAGATAGATTTTGTTCTTTGCTATCTTGGGTAATATCTGGAAGAAAGCTGAGATCCACAGAGGAGAAGTCTGCTGGGAGCTCTTTGGGCTGGTTAAATTGAGAACCGAACAACACATCTTCAGTTGTTTGAATTGGAAGGTCTACATCATAAGGGCTCATGGGAGTAAACAGCTGAGGACTAGCTGAGAGGTCATCCTTGAATTAAGGAAAAGCGTCATTAAGGATCTTGTATTAAAACATTAACTGGGGGACCAAATTAAGATTAATCTTCTATTCGGTGAGGAAGTTGAAATCATTTTCCCCCATACATATTATAGCAAAGAATAGTCTTAAGATTTGAAAGGGTGTCATTTGCTTGTCTATCAGCACATAAAAATCCAGATAACTTCTATGGTGGAGATACGCATTTTCCCACCACACTTCAAAGGCAGTCTAGAGTACTCCTGTGATACCACAAACTGAGAAATACTATATACCTTCAGCAGTGACAGGAGGAACAATGTTGGCACTTTGCCCTTCACAGCCGTTGTTGTGCCTCACTTACGCACGTAACCAACATAATTGCTCATGAGTTTTTCCAAGGAAGACAGCTGGCATTTTCTGGCTGGCTTTAACTCCCATTCAGTATATTACTATTTCCTCTCCCCGCTAGCAGGGGACAGCGTCAGTGTTGCATTGGATTTGTGCAACAGAGGGCAGCAGCTCACAGAATCACGAGCAGTTTATTCTTTCAGCTGCTGGAGGTCACCAGACTAATTTAAGTGAGACACTGTCAGCAAAGCCAGCTTTCTTTCCCAGGTCAAGCATGCAATATAATGGCAAGCAAGTTCTTGCATACTAATGTCCTCCTTTATCAGCTATTTATTATTAAAAGCTATTTAAAAGGCACCCTAATATCGCGGCAGCAAGAGTTTAGGAAAGGATTTATTCCCTTACCCATTAGGGCATAAGCCTCTAGTTAGTGGAAAGCTTCTTCCAAGAAGGTGGTTTCTGACAATACCCACAGCAGGCAACAGCTTGGACTAGATGATCCGTACAAGAGGTTTTGTGTTCACTTAGGCATTTTTGGGCTCGAGAGCCAAAAGGACTTGAAAAGACCAAGCACAAATCAGGGAACAGCGCACAAGACCGAGGCCCTCGAGTTGGCAGCAACTGCCTGAGCTCCGGTGGGAGCAGGGTTTCCAGATCAATGCTTTTCAGCCCTGAGCTAGTGCTGCTCTATGTTCTGTGCTGATCAGCTCACTTAGCAACGCAACCATGCACGTGGGGAGATCTCTGCTCCTGCTTTGCAGTATATTTGCCTGTAGACACTTGGAAAACTCTTACTAAGTGACAAATCCTCCCAGAGAACCCTTCTAGCTTAATACAGATGCGATAGGTCTAGCTCTGAAAGCATCATGGACACCTAGGTTCAAAACTGATTCTAAAACTGACTTCTAGATGCGGAGCCCCGCACGAGATCAGTTGGGGCAGAGTGCTACCGAATAAGACTAGGTACTCCTTAACCCCTCGGCTCTTTGGAAAACAGGATCCAAGAGCACTATCTGAGAATTAAGAGGTCACATGCAAATGTATTAACAGTTACAAACAACAATATACTACGGAATAACTAAAATACATCTGTTTTAAATAGATATTTTTCAAGTTAGCAACAGGGGAAGGAAGGCACAGTCTCTGCAAGACCTACAGTACAGTAAGGCTTAGCTGTACAGGAGCTAATTTAATTAGGAAAGTTTTGTATGAACCGTGATGCAGAGAAGATGGTACGAAAAAAGCCTCATCACTGCAAGCCTGTAGGACTACTCACACTAAGGGGCATCAGAGAACATGAGAAATATCATAGTCAAAAAAAAGAAGAGACGTAAAGCAGACAGTTTGTGGCATAGCTTAAAGAAAGAAGCTGATGGAGAAGTGACTGGTATAGGAGGCTGGAAATATTAAACAGCTAAAAAACAAATCAAGAAAAGCAACAGAAAGTAAACTGGATAAAGTAGATAGGAAGATTTGCTTTTTGTTTCTTCCTCATCAGGTTTCCATATAACTGGTCTGGGAAAAAGCCCTTACAGGGTTAAGTGCTGGGGAAGATTGCCTTCTTGTTAGACAGATGCTCAGAGGCTGTGAAAGGGGGCACAAGACCATGTTTATATTGGGCTGGCTGCCAAGGGTTATTGCTATAGACTCTAGGTTAATTAACTTCACCGAAGGCCCCCTCAACTGCATAGCTTTGGACATCTCCCAGCAGCTCCAGGAAGGAGATTTCACACATAGATCCTGTCTGAGATCACCGCGTTTGGGGCAGCTTGAGGGGAAACAGCCATTTTCACTCCCACTGCAGGAATCCCTGCAACCCAGGTACACATAAATCAAATCCAGCTGCTTTAAGCAACAGACTTGGATTTTTTTTTTTTTTTCTTTCTGCAGTGATCTCTCACACATCTGCTATTATCAAGTATCCCAGGGAGTCTGAAATACAAAAAGCTCGTAGCATTTGTAAAACCCTGGTTATACCTCACCACATTATATGCTTTACGAGGCCATATTCAGAGGCCTTTACTGACTGCCACTAGGAGGTCTCTGGATTTAAACAGCTTGTGCTAAACCCATTTTCTGAGCTGAAAAACAGTTTCCAACAGGATGCAAGTAAAGAAGTGGTGTTCCCTGGGTGAAGACGATGCTCAGCTGTGGAGTCTGGCCCTCACCCTGTTGTCTCTGCAACCACCCCAGGCCAGGGAGGGCTATTCTAAATACCAAAAAAAAGAAATCCTTGCCAACATTTACCAAGCAGCATGAAGAGATCCGAGCCTCCTGCCCCCTCAGTGCCAACACGCCCCGGTACACAGGCTGGCTGGCCCTCACGAACAGCACTCCATAGCAAGAGCTTAAACGCAGCAGCATTCCTCCGGAGGCAGATGAGAGCTACCTCCCCCAGCAGAAAGCCCTTCCAGGGCTCCTCCGTGCGCCCAGCAGCTCTGGACCGTTGTAGCCCACTACTCCCCTACTGGAGGCTGGGCCGGAGATGGCGGCCAGGCCGGCCCGGGGCAGGGGGGAGCCCC